TTCTTTAAAATTATTTTTATTTTACTTTTTTTAAATAATAAAAGCTGCTATTGCAATAAAAATTGAAGATAAAAGGATAGGCTCGGTAAGGGAGTGCTTAGTACCAAAATGCTGATATTAATCCACTCTTCTCACAGGCTATGAATGTTATCTAGAGTGGGCAAAACTTAAAAAAAAAAAAAAAAAAAAGGAAGAAATTAACAAAAAAGGTCTTGAGAAGCTCTGTCCAGTGAACTATTGATACCGAGGCAATTGCTCTGTGTTTAATATAAGAACTCGCCAAGATATCGTAGGAAGGCAACACAGGAGATGAAAAATCGCTTACAGAAAGGAACCCTCCAATAGTATTTACTTTTAAATATACGACGCTTTTCAGGAGCATTATACTAAGCGTGTGGATTTGTTTCCCTTATGTGATCTTTGAATATATTTAATAAAATATTTGAAGGAAAGTTCAAGTTAAATCTGTTTTTCTATAATGCAAACAAAGGCGTATTTCTCGTGGCTACTGATAGGTTAATTAGATGATTTTAACAGAGATCTATCTTGGAATAATCCGATATTTTTTCTAATAAAATTGCAGGTCTTTCTGTGTTTAGCACGGATATAATGCTGCATAGTGTATTTTGTAGGTGATGGTTTGGCAAAGGTGATCTGAATGTGACTGGATTCCCCCAGGAAAAAGAAAAAAAAGGCCTTTGTTATTCTTTTCCATTAGTGAAAGAGGGAGGTCTGGCTCTTCATTTATATAGAAATTACCCGGTATAAAATTTAGACTATGAATATTAGAAGTGAAAGATCACACCCCAGGCACAGGGAAAGCATGTATTCATAAAAAACTGCCTGAATGCAACGTGGTCCTTATTTGGAAGGGGCTTCCATCCCACCACTCCTCTGCTTGCAGGATTAACCACCAGCTCCTTTCTGCCTTCATCTATCAAACGTGGTTTGTAACTGTTCACCAGAAATATCACCCGTATGTGGAATACAACAGTAACAAACGTTTTTATTGCAACAGGTTCTGCAGCATGGAAGAACATCCACAGTAAGTAACCTTTTATTTCTTGTAGAATTGGCGTTATTCGAAAATCCTGGTTCTTCCCTTCGGACCGAAAAAAAACCCCAAACTGTGATTCCTGATGAGTATTTCTTCCCTCTTCTCCCTTCCACCCCCAACCTCCCCCCAACAAAAAAAAAGAGAGAGAAAAAAAAAGGACTGTGTCAGCATAAGAAGGTTCTCGTGGAGTCAGTTTGTGGCACCATGTCACAGTCCTGTCTAGCATTAAAAGCAGAGGTGCAGTCTCCTGGAGGTTTATTACAGGGCTGTACAGGTGTCGTTCTGCTTTTAAGCACTCCAAAGCAATTAGCAGCGTTTCCATTTTAACTCGGCGGGACTGTACAGCGCCTCCCTGTGCAGAATCCAGACGGATCACGTTGTATCCCAGCACCTCCTAACCTTGGCTACTCCCACTCTTTTCTCCAGACGGGATCCCAAGCAGAGCTGTGCCTGCTTTCTGATGTTCCCCTCGTTTGGCACAGACTGGTGGCTGGGTGAAAAAGGCGGCAGGAGCTGGGGGCGGTGAGCGCTGGCCAGCCGAAGCAGCCCAGCTGCAGCCTGGTTCTGCGGGCAGTAGAGCTGATCTGCTGGTGCGAAGTGTCTCGGGGCAAGAGAGATTCTAACGTCGATTTAAATGCTGTGAAGGCACGGAGTGGGATGGGTATCAGAGCTTAGGAGGGCAATCTTTTACTGTAGGGGTTTTCGCGTCCCAGATGGTCCTGCCTGAGCTGCGCCAGGGGGGACCGAGGGGGGGGCAGAAGATCAGTGTGCATCAGGAAATACTGTTGAATCTTTCTAGCTACAGAGAGGAGCTAAGTGCATTGGTCCTGGTCCTGCAGGCTGAGACTGGCTTGTCTCTCGAAGCAGGAAAGAAAGCTTGCGATATTTGGAGATTCATTAGGTTATACATTGTCCTTCCTGCTTCTGCCAGCCTTGCTCTGACCCGGAGCATGTAAAGGAGAGGAATGTTTGCGTGTGTGTTTGTTTGCGTTTCCCCGTTTCCTCTCCCTATTTCCTGATAAATAATCTACTTCACTGTATGTGCCAATCTTCCCCTGGTCTTTTTGTCTTCCTTTGCAATATTGGTTTTCGAGTTCTATAAATACGAGCTAAAGAATCGCCTCCAGCGTTGCAATTTTAATTGTGTTCCATAGGTAACTTTCCTCCCCTCGTAGCTCAGTCCTTTGCTGGGTAGACGCCCTTGGCATTTTATTACAGGGTCGGCCCTAAATGTATGGATTACTTGTTTTCTGCCAACGTACATTTAGCATACTGATTATGAACCAGAATACAAAAAGCCTGATAGATCAAAAGTATTTTGTATGGGCAGTTGAACAGGAGGTGAATATATAACGCTTTTGTTCATCAATAACTCTTTGGCTTTGACCTGTCTGAGCAAGTCGTGCAATAAGGTGAAACGCAGGTCACAGCGTCTAACAAATATGAAAATGTGTAGTATTAAGGAGAACGGGGAGCTGCTGCTTCCCCAGCTCCATCGCTGCTCCCTGGGCAGCCTTCGGTGGACTTGTCCGCTCCCGGGGGCTGCCCCAAACGATAGCTGGCTTTTTGGGGCGGAGGGGAGTTAGCCTGCCACTTCAGCTGGGTGGTTAATAACCCCCGCGGGGAAGGGGGGGGTATCCCCTCTCTCCTCAGAGAAAGGGTGAGAAAGCGGGAAGAGATGCTGAAAATAGCTGGGTGGGGATTTGAAGAATCCGGGGGGAGATTAAGGAGATAAAGTCGTTTTGAGTTGCACTTGCTGTGAAGAAGGCACCACCGCAGTGGTAAGAAAGCAGATGTTTAAAAATAGCATCTCCCAGCTCAGGCAGTTGGGAGTTGGAGCCAGCCAAACAACCCCGTACACATCGCTCGGATAAGCGCAACACCCCCAAATCTGCCCTCCGCAGTGGTTGGATGTATCACACCCGCACCATTATTTGTCCTTATGGTGCCTGTTTTAAATAGTGGAAGGAGAAGAGGTTGACCGCAGGACAGCAGTGAGGAGCTGGGTCAGACACAATTAATGAACTTTTGTACTCCTGTGTGCCGCTGTCGACAAAGTAAAAATAATGAAACTTTGTGATATGTTTGTAAATGATTTCGGCTGACCTCTCGCCCTGCCCTTCACCATAAACGCTACGGCGGGGAAAACCTGGGAGGGTGCGAGGCTGAGGCTCGCAGGCAGATCGCGGGGATAATAGCTAGACCAGCATAATAGGATGAAGGTAAATTTGGAAACTCTCTTTTTCCCGAGAGCAACTAACTCCAGCTTTTAATCTCATCTTTTTCACCAACCGCTGTTTCTGTTGTCGGCTGTTTTACTTCTGTTTCGATTTTTTTAGAAATTATTTTTTTATTTTGGGGGGATTTCTAATTATAGAGAATCTCTTCAGATTCGTGTTAGCCTAAATATTTAAAGACTCCTTACTAAATTACTTTAACCATTATTATTCTAAATAGCGCAATTTGACCGAGTACGTCCATTTTCCATAGCGAGGGCGTAAATGGCAGAGAATTTAAAGAAAGCGGCAGGTCTTTCTGAGAATTTGGTAGACGAAATTCGTCGCTATGAATTGGTGGAGGGTCGTATAGCTCTATTGCAGCAATAATAACAAGCATGAATCTTTTCTGAAATCCCACCTTCTTGCAAATCTGTATTTCAGAACTGAGTCCCAGCAGAATAGTTTGCATTCCTCAGAAGACAGTAAGAGACTAAGAGAATTGCAAAGACCTGCTATATTGTAGATGAAAACAGAATGTTATTACGTTGTCTATATATACCCTGTAGAACCGAATTTGTGTGATATTCATATAGTCACAGATTCGATTCTAGGGGAATATATGGTCGATGCAAAAACTTCACCTTTCTGCAAATGGTTAGAAGTTAAAATACTGGCGGAATCAAGAGGCATGTGAGTGCTGAACACCCAGAAATTATGAAAGTTTTGCTGCCTCGCTCCTATTCGCTAGGTTTTAGGACGTTTCTTAAAACTTCAGTTGTCGTTCAGTCCTAACTCTCACTGACAATCTGTGAATTTAAACAGTTAAAACTCATCAGAAGTTTCAAATTTTCTAGAGGGGGAAAAAAAGATATTATCTACCAATCAATGAATGAGTCTTTTAGAAGATACTCATAAATTAGCTAGATATGCGAGACGTTAGCAAAATTTCCCTGTCAAGGGTCCAGATCGCATCAAAATATTTACGACAGCAGCAAAAGCAGCATTTGCCTCACTGGAATGTATTTACTTGTGCTCCAGGAATGATATTGATAAATGAAGACCGAATTTATCTCATTAAACCCGTGATATTTTTAACTTAATTAAATTACGTCTCCTGCTCAATTGATTGAACTTTAGTTGTTAAAAGTGAACTCTTTCTTGACATCTGTATGATTTTAAATACATACACGTATAAATTTATAAATATACGTTGGCGTTTGCGACTGTGAGCGCACACGTATGCACACGTATATATTGAGACTTGAAAGTGAATGAGAAGTTACTGATTGCCTAATTTTATTCAGCAGAACTAAATTCTGGTAACTTTTGGATGACCTCTGCTAGACAAAGACAGGACAGATCTATTGTACATCATATTACCCTCTTCTTTGATGGCTTTTCTTTTCCTCGCCTGCTTATCAGTTTCTTCCCTTTTAACCCTGCTTCAGCTCATCGCTCTGTATATTCCTTTCGATTCTTTTTCTTATTTTATTTAAAGCGAGGTACCAAGCCCCGGTGGCGACCCTGGCTAGTAGATCAGACGGCAGGGCAGCATCCCCGGGGGCTGGGGGAAGCCGGCTCAGACAAAAGGCTGTGGGCAGGGCAGCGGCCGCCGCCCCGGGGTACCCCTACACCTCCGGTACCTGGTTTGCGGGTGCGGCCCGCGGGAGAGGGGGGTCACTCGGTTAGAGGGATGTTATTGAGTGGAATCGCTGGAAATGCGGGGAAATGCGGCGGTGGGCGCCCGGCTCCCCATTGGCCGGGCCGGTCACATGCCCGCCTAACTTTATTCAGTTGACAGCAAGTAGGAGGGCTCTATGGCAGGGGAAAAAAAGACAACACGAGAAAAATTAGTATTTTCTACCTTCAGAAATTAATGGCCATGAGTTCGTATATGGTGAACTCTAAGTATGTGGATCCCAAATTTCCTCCTTGTGAGGAATATTTGCAGAATAGCTACTTAGGGGAGCAGGGGGCCGAGTACTACAGTGCCTCGCAGGGCTCTGATTTCCAGCACCAGGGACTCTACCCACGGTCAAACTACAGCGAGCAGCCCTATAGCTGTAGCAATGCCCAGGGCTCTGCCGGGCAGCCGCGGGGTCACGGACAGGAGCAATCCGGCCCGGCGAGCCACTTCCCCGGCCCAGCAGAGCATTGTCCACCGCCTCCAATGTCCAACTCGCGAGCCTGCAGCCAGCAGCCGGCCCTCAAACCCCCAAACGGCTCCGCAGTTAAGCAGCCAGCAGTAGTTTATCCCTGGATGAAGAAAGTCCATGTTAACTCGGGTAAGGATCCTCTTCTTACTTTGCTCTTCTACCCTGCTTCCGATCGTCCTCAGCGGCGCTCTCCCGAGTCCCCGCCAGGCTCGTGGGTGAGCTTTTTAAGCCGAGGTGGCCAATTACACTCGCCATAAATTTTTATTGCTGAGGAAATAGGCCGTTGGCCATGCGGGGCTTTGCCGTGCAGGATAAAACTCCATTTTAGGAGCCTTCTAGAGGCTCCTAGCCCACCTAGCTGCGTGTGCCCGTAGTGCCTGCCTCAAACGAGGGGGAAAGCAGCCCGGCCATTGTAAGCAACTGGGACGATTCCAGCTCGGCCACATGCTCGCAGCTCATAAGGTTTTCTTTTGTAAAGTCGGACCGGCAAGTCAAGATTAGCTTTGTAAAAGTTCTCCGTATTTTTTTCCCAGTGAATCCCAATTACAACGGAGGGGAACCTAAACGCTCCCGCACAGCTTACACCAGACAGCAAGTCCTAGAACTGGAAAAAGAATTTCATTTTAACAGGTACCTGACCAGGCGCCGCCGTATCGAGATAGCCCACACTTTGTGTCTCTCTGAGCGCCAGATCAAGATCTGGTTTCAGAACAGAAGAATGAAGTGGAAAAAAGATCACAAACTGCCCAACACGAAGGGCAGATCTTCTTCCTCTGGTTCAAACCCCCATTTACAAACTGGTTCCAAGGACCATCAGACTGACTTGACAACTTTGTAGAAGAGGTGAAATTTTCCATTTCATCCTTCGCTTCTGACCAGTACTGTACATAACTGACACTGCCCAAGCAGAACCTGCATGTAGCAGCTAAGGACACGAGAAACTGTCATCTTTCTTTAAGGTACTGTTGTACAAAGGAGACAAAATGACGCTACTTTGGACTTTATTTTATTTGCCTCTGCTAGCACAACCTAAAAAAGGAGAGAGAAAAAAAAAAAAGGGAAAGAAAGAGGGAAAAAACCCCAAAACCATCATGCAGGCAGTGGAAATTGGGAAAATATTAAATGAGACCTTCTGTCCTTTAAAAATAATAAATCATTGAAAATTAATCTGTCCTGTGTTTCAGTTTTGAATTCTAAAGTGAAGATTGGATGTATTATTCTGGGATTTATACTTTTAATTGTCTTTTTGTCCCATGCAATTTAGGGAGGATGCATTTTGGGCAAGTTGAGGACAGGAAATTCATAGCTTAGTCTTTTATTCGAGCATAAAGACTAGTAATTGTGAACTCTTTTTTTTGGTGCTGCTTTACCTTTCTCGGTGTAATGAAAATTCTTGCTCATTTCCATAACATCTCAAAAAGTGTGCATAGAAATGAAGTGAAAACGGGTTATTTTATGTTCTGGTAATGTTAGTGTATTTATTTATTTGTTACATAGAAGAATGAAGACAAAAAGAAAAATAGTGAAACCAAAAACGAAGAAGGGGAGCTGAAATACAGTATTTTTCCTTCCCTTGGACGTACACATTTCTTGTCCCCCCCCCTCCCCCTTTTTTTTTTTTAATTTCCTTCTTTGTGAATAGGAAAAGTGTCCCTTCTCCTTACCGTGTGCCATCCAGAGCTAACAGGCTTGAAATCTGTTTCCAAAGTCTGCTCTGTTCAGCGCTGTGCTTTAAACCATCGATACCTCATTTAAAAATGGAAAGAAAAAAAGAAAAAAGAAAGAGAGGGGACCACAAAAAACAACCCCACAAAAACCAACAGCAACCTAGACTGAAAAATTAATGTAATTTCTTATATAAACCGAGCCATTCAAAGCTGAAAGCTGAGCACGTTCTTTCAATCAGATTTTAAATTTCTGTTAGAGAGAGATGATCTATGTGGGATGCTGCTTTGTTTTGTTTTGGGTTTATTTTGGGTTTTTGTGGCTTTGGTTTGTATCGTTTTTAGGTTTGGGTGGGTTTTTAAAGATTAGGTGGTTTATTTCTGGTTTTAGTGTTTGTTTGGGTTTTTCTGGGTGTTTCTTTTTTTTTTTTTTTTTTTTTTTCTTAGAACAATGATTGTTTTTAAGCAAACCATGACACATGACTGCAATGGCTGGAAGTCTCAGCAAGTTGCTTTCAGGAAAGACGAAAGGCTTGGATGGGAGTAGAGCTGGTCTAATATCCACAAATTTGTCCCTGACTGCTGGTTGCCAAAGTTTTAGTGCGCTATAACTACGAAACCAAACAAAACCAGCTCCCAGAGCCACTTACACCTCCGCTCAGGCGGTTTAAAGCTCAGCCCTTATCTCCTGTACCCTCAGGGCAGCCTAGGAGAGGGACTACATAGCCAAAATTGTAACGAGATGATCCCTTTAATAAAGAGAAAAGTGCGAAGAAGGAAATTCATAGCAAACACTGAAGGGAGGTGGAAAGAGCAGGGGGTGAGTTAACGTGCCCTTCTCCAGGCTGGATGCTTCCCACTGAGAACTCACGGCTCTCTGGGCTCGCTCGGGAAAATGGTGGCCAAAATAGGCTTGAATTAATTCGAAAATAAAAGGCGAGCTTTTCAACAAGAGTGTATTCGGCAACGTTAACTGTGGCCAGCAGTTAATTTCTGCCCTTTTCTCATCGCTTGAAGTCCGCAAAGTGTCTTTAAGACTTGGTCTTTTGTTTTAGAGCCTGGAGAAAACTCTTTGTTCTTCCTTAGGGTTAGCCCAGTTCTCAGACTTGCACATGGCAATACTTGAATATCTCCACGTCGTGATATTAAAGATGGATATTCCCGCATTATTCGCATCATTGTTTCTATGACAAAAAGCACCGAGTTCATACATAGTAAAGACGTCTTTTTTCTGACGCCTTCACGTTGAGAAGCTGAAAAGGTATTTTACTGAAGTTCGGCTAAATTGCAGGAACAGGTTCACCCAGAGGACAAATTTTCTATTCGATTAGTTGTATTTCAGCCGGGAAGAGTGACCTCTAAACCCTTAACCTTTTGGACCCAAACTACCCTTCCCTTTCTCTGGCATGGAGAGCAGCGAGCAGCAGCGCTTGAGGAGGGAATTCCTGAGACAAGTTTTCAAGTTTTGTTACACCAGGTTCCTGCAGTAGTGGCCTTTCCTCTCCAGAGCTGCTCAAAGCCATCTTTTTGCTCTTCATACGTATCTATTAAAATAAAGAAGAAAAAGGATGTGGGGAAGTAAAACCCCTCTAGCTGTACTTCTTGAAAATCCTCTGTCCGGACCCCCGCTGTTTTCTTAAAGTCTGATAAGTCGGCTGCGAGCAGTGCAAAAGTGTTAATCGAGAGAGAGCTACCAGCTTTGGCATGTGTGGTACAGTTCTGGAAAATAATGGGCTTGGATAAGAAAATCCTTGTTTTGTGCTTCCAATCAACCGAGATGGCTCCCGAAGTTAAAGGACCAACTTCTGCTCCCAGATTTCCTTCCCCCGCCCACTGAAGTCAAACAGGCATGTAGCTGCGAGCAGAATTTGTCTCATTGTCTTTTGAAATGTTAATAACTCCAGGACGAGTGTTGGCTTCGGCAGGCACAGCTCTTACAACCCCGTTTGCAAGTCCCCTTTGAGGGAGGCTGGAACACTATAGGTTTGCATAGGTGTAATTGCACCGTAGGATCGGAGAATATGTGAAGTAGAGGCAGAGAGTATCAAACAGAAATAATTTTCAGCTGCCAATGTTCCGAATGGTCAGGAATATTTGTAATAATGACCAGGAGCATCCACTGGTCGTAATCTCCCGTGCAAAACGAACCTGAGTTTCTGTTTCTTTGGTTTTTAAATGGTTGTAACTGTCCTCCAGAGTTGTTTTTTGTGTGAAGGGAAGATGGTTATTTTTGTTTATCACGGGTGAACGTTGTGCATTTCAGCCTTTGTTAAACGGTCGCATCGTCCGCACTACTCTTATCTCTGTTAAAGTGTGATGCTTTTTATAGACTTTGCTGATGTTTTGCTGCCATTAATTAAAGCGTTATTTATACTAGCTGTCGCCTGTAGTTTTGATGTAAGCCCTCCACATGCTTTTAAAATAATAAAAGGTGTCGCGAAATAGATTCTGGTTTGTACCTTGAACAAGCAGTCCTTACAAGGTGGGTCTCTCTTCTGTGAAAATGCTGGTCCCTCCCATCATTCCAGTGTTAAAAGATGAGTGACTCTGCATAGCATCCTTCCAAATGTCCCTTTGAACAGGTTTGCTGTTTGCCTCAGCCGTAATGGTGTGACTCTAGGCCAAGCTGGAGTCTATATTTACTTTTGGGCTGCAGTTAAAAGTGCCTGTCATCCATTTGCTGCTGCTTTGCATTTAACAAGCCCTCCAAGAATGACTCCTGGATTTCTGCATATGTGGTAGGAGGCAAGGAGCCACACCTGAAGTCACCTCGGTGCCCACACAGATGTGTGTCTTTTAGGTGAGTCCTGGAAAGAATCAATTAAATAAAGAAATGGAAATTCGAAATTGCAGTGCGGAGAGTGGTTTTTCCTGAGCAGTAACTCTCACTTTGACAGCGGATACAAAAGAAAGATCACAAGAAAACACAACTTGGAGACTTTAAACTTTGTCGTGCACCTATGGCAAGCATATTTTTTTTCCTTCCCAGCGTGAGCATCTCAGACAATAACACATACAACTAGCCAGGAGAAGTCGATTGCACTATTTTTGTCATAAGTACTTGTCAGTGAGGGCTTGTCCTCCCCTGGAGAGTGGTCAAGGCACGAGTCCAAAAATACAGTCTCTGGCTCAGCCCGGGCAGGGAGCAGGGTGCCCAGAAGAAAGCATGTGCCCTTACTGCCCAAGTGTGCAGAGGGGAAGCTGGGGTTGCCTTTCTAAGCACACACTCGCTAAGTTTAAATATTGAGGCATATCTTGTGATTATACTTTCTGCTGTTTAATGGCTCCTCCTGTTACTCCCGATACATCAATACAGTTCTGTATATTATATCACCACTAGTCGTTAAGGTAAGAATGAAGAGGAAAGGCAGAGTCAATAGCAAGCCCCACTCACTGTACAGTACAGTAAATAGGGACCTCTCGGTGCAGAGCCACACCGCTTCCAACGGCCATGTTTGTTAGCCCTTTCCCCTGATTCTTTTTTTCCTTTTTTTTTTTTTTCTTTTTTTTTTTTTTTTTTTTTTTTTTTTTTTTTTTTCCCCTCCTTCCCCCCAAGCCTAGAGACCAAAATAATCTTGCTAGGAACAGTCATAACAGGCAGAATTTCAAAGTGCAAGGAAGATGATAAGAATAGATTTCTACAAGTCCTGACCACGTGATTTGCGAAATAATTAATTCAGCACGTCCCTTAAGAAACACGGAGTCGTCATTAATCTGCCAAGCAAAGGACTCTATCAGACTTGAAAACTGAAGAGATCCCAAGAATATAATATACAAAGGGTGCCGTCCTTCTCCCTGCACACCTAGCTCCTTGGTAGCTGCTGAAAGAGAGACACCTGGTACGTAAATATTTTTTACTTTTATTCCTCCTTATTTAAGCCTTAATGAACTCAGCTGTCAAACACTTGACAAATAGGGCACGCTGCTTCCTGATTTCCAGCGCGGCAGCGGCCGGGAACCGGACCGGGCGCAAGCGATGACCTTTGCTTCCCAGGGAGCGGGGGAAAGAGGACGGGCGCGGAGCGGCGCGGAGCAGGGAGGCTGATGGCCACACCGCCTCCCGGAGCGGCGGCTGCCTGCGCGGGGAGGCGCGGAGCGGAGCGGAGCGGAGGAAACAATGCTGCTGTCAGGGCAGCCGCTGCCCGGTCCCAGCGGCGGGGAAGGGCCCTCAGCTCCTCCGCAAGCGGGGTCGTAAATTTTGCCTCGCGTCTTTGACAGCGGGGCCGGAGCCAGGGCCAGGCGCTCCTTTCCCCGCCGCCCGCACAAAGGCCGGCCCCGGCCGCTCTGCCCGCTCCTGCCCCGGCCACCCGAGCCCTCCACCCGGCGCGGAGCTGCGGGGGAGTCCGGCAGCCTCCAGCCCCGTAGCG